CACACACTCACACACACACACACACACACAAGAACCAAAATGTGCAGCTCCCCCTCCTCAAGTAAACCTTTTACCCACAGAACGTCTCAAAGTCAGCCGATTCCCTTATTTGGAGCGAGTACATGAAGCAAGATGTGCTTCAGAGAGTTTAGTGGCTCCACATGCATGCCTCATTAAACAAGTCAAACTGACCCTGTTTACTTCCTCAAAACACAGTCCTGGTCTTATAGTTTGAATGAAATATCAATGCACACAAAAAATAACAATGTACAAAAGTGTCTTAGTGGTTTATCAAATTACAGTCACTTGCTCTGATTCTAAAATGACTTTCCTCATCAGTCTCTTTTATCAACATTCTGGTATTTAACCCACATTTGTCATGATTTAATCAATATAATAAATAATATAACTCACACTGTATTTTTCATCATTGAGTGTCCTGTTTCAATCAGAAATATCACAAAATGTCTCAAAAATCTATGTGGTTAGTTTCGTAATGAATGAATTAATTAAAACATATTTAATTTAGAACATTTAAATATGTAAACAAAAAAATTAATTTAGCACAAAAAACTCTATGTGGTTAAATAAATAAATGCACAAGGGGATATAGTTTATAGAATCTATTATTAAATAATTAATTTAGAACATTTAAATATGTAAACAAAATGTAATGTAACACAAAAAATGTTATTATTAAAAAATATAAATGACTGTGAATTTAACGGTAAAAGACTGTAAAAATGCTACAGTAAAAACCTGTTAAATGGTTAACAGTAAATTCCCCTACTATATACGTTGAAAAACTGTATTGGACATTACATGTAATTTTACGGTAGTATACCGTTTTTGGAAGTGAAAAAGTCAGTATAATTTACAGTGAATAACCGTAAATTGACATTCCCTGCGTTACATTTCAAATTTGATGTTTTTTTGTTGAAATAACTATGTTTCTTAGTTTTTTCTTATCAATTTTGTATATTAGGATTGTGTGTTACACCTAATGTTGAATGTTTATTGCATTATTTCAGTTTCACGTGTGTTACCATGATGGTGTTTAGTGTTTGTGTGAATGACACTGTGCACCTTCTATATATGTTATTATTTAAAAGCTGCTTGTGATGGGCTTTGGTTCATCATGTGACTTTCTCATCACCGCCTGCATTTAGTGGTTATCAGTGTATTACAAAGGTACAAAACAGATTTAAGTTCTTCAAAAGGTAGGTATATTAACATCATATCAGTTAATTAAATTACGGTATTTAACTGTAAATTTAAGTTAAAACCGTAAAACCTAAAACATTGCTATCGTATTTTTTATGGTAAAATTCCGGCAACCACAGCTGCCGTTTTTTTACCGTAAACTTTACGGAATTTTTTTTACAGTGTATATACGGTGAAAAACTGTATTGGACATTACATGTATTGGCCATTAATTTTACGGTAGTC